AGACAAAGATTCTCACCACTGGGCCAATTGGCAGCACCACACTAGATGGAAAAGAGAATGAGGTTGTTAGCAATTACAGCTTGCTCGGATCCACAATCAACATTTTTAACACCTGCAGTCAGGAAATTAAAAGGTGAATTGCATTGGGAAAATCTGCTGTCATGGACATCTCCAGAGTGCTGAAGAACAATGATGTCAGTTTAGATACAAAGGTGCACCTAATCCAGGACATATTCTTCTCAATTACTTCTAAATTACTTGTTATGTTTCAGAGAGTTGGACAATGACTAATAATGACAGAAGAAGAATAGATTCCTTTGCATCGTGGTGCTGGAGAAGAGTCTTGAACATACCATGGACTGCCAAGAAAACAAATAGATCTGCATTGGAGAGGGTGAAACCAAGTCTCTCCTTGGAGGCTAGGATTTTGAAAATCTGCCTCAATTACTTTGGGCACATGGCCAGGAGATATTGGTCCTTGGAGAAAAACATCACGCTCTGAATGATGGATGGACAACTTAGGAGAGGGAGACCCAGATGAGATGGATTGATACAGTAACTGGGGCGATAGGGGTTGGTGTGTCGGAGTTAGTGAGACTGTCTCAGGACAGGGAAGGGTTCAGACCTACTGAACATAGGATCAATATACATTGCAAGTGATTCAATAGCACATAACAACAATAACATACTATGACAGGTTTGGAAGCAGGAGTGGCATCCACTTTCTAAACCATGTGCCTCCGGAAACTCTATGAACTTTGATAAATATCAATAGTTGTAGAGGGACTTCAGGCCTTTTTTTTGCTATGAGTCATGCTTGACTCAAAGGCAATCAATACAACACACACACACACACACACACATAAATATATATGCTACCCATGCATACCTCAACAAGCAGATGCAACTCTTTACATGCTCATTAGTATGCTGTTATGCGCTATCCAGGTGACTATGACTCTTATTCACAATAGTTCTGAACGCTGCCTTATCGTGAGTCAGTCTTACAGTGTCCAATACACCTGTCCCCATACCACCACAGTCACTGTGTCAATCCATCTCATTCAGGGTTTTCCTCTCCCGCATTGACTCTTTACCCTTTGAAACATGATGTTCTTCTCCAAAGATTGGTCCCTCCTGTCCCAAAGTATGTGAGATGGAGTTTCAAAAAGCTTACCTCCAAGAAGCAACTTGGTTTCAATTCTGCAGGACAGAGATGCTTGTTCTATTGGTGGTGCATATTATGTTCAAGACTGTTCTGTAGCACCACAAGTCAAAGGCATTGATTCTTCTTCTGTAATCCTTAGTAATTATCCAGTTCTGTGATGTATATCAAGTAATTGCAAAGACTATTAGTGTTAGGTGTACCTCAGTCTTTAGCCTGACCTCATTGCTCTTCAGCACTCTGGAGATGTCCTTGACAGATTTTCCTAATGTAGTTAATCTTTTGATTTTCTAACTGCTGGTGCCAAGGGTGTTGAATGTGGGACCAAGCAAGCTGAAATTGTTAACAACATCAGTCTGTCTCCATCTATCATTGTGCTGCCAATTGGCCCATTGGTGAGATTCTTTGTTTCTTTAATGTTGATCTTCAATTCATGTTGGATACTGCAGTCCATCATCTGCAGCAAATGCTTCAGATCCTCCTCAGTAGTGTCATCTGCATAATACAGATTGTTAATGAGTCTTCCTCCATATGGTCCACCTCATAAAGCCCTGCCTTCCAAATGATTGGTTCTGCATATATATATATTTAAAAGGTATTGAGACAGAACGTATCCCTAACATATTTCTTTCTTGATTTTGAACCATTGTTCAAAATGTTTCCTTGCTCTGTTCTGACAACTGCTTCCTGGTCTAAGGATAGGTTTTGCCTGAGCACAAACAAGTGTTCTAAAATTCCCATTTTTCTCAATGTTAGTAACAATTTGTTGTGATCCACACAGTCCAGTGCATTTACACAGTCAATGAAACACAAACAAACATTCTACTGGTACTCTCTGCTTTCATCCAGAAGCCATCTTTTAAGGCAAATGATGTTCCTAATTGCACGGCCTCTTCTAAACGAAGCTTGTATTTCTGTTCATTCCCTGTTATTTTGGATAATGTTTAGCAGGATTTTACTTGTGTGTGATATGTGTAATATTGTTCAATGATTTCCACAGTGTCATATGCAATACATATTGTTAATGAGTTTTCCTCCAATCTTGATGCTACATTCCTCCTCATAGAGCCCAGCCTCCCAGATGATTTTTTCCATATGTAGATTGAAAAGGTATTGAGATAGGATGCATCCCTGACTTATACCTTTTCTGATTTTGAACCATGCAGTGTTTCCTTACTCTGTTTTCACGACTGTCTCCTTGTCCAACTATAGGTTTTGCTTAAGCATGATAAAGTGTTCTGGGATTCCCATTCTTCTCAGAGTTAGCCACAGTTTCTTGTGCTCCACACAGTGAAATGCCTTTGCACAGTCAATGAAACACAGATAAACATTCCTCTGGTACAATCTTAAAAAAAATGAATCACATTGGGGAAATCTACTGTCAAGGACCTCTCCAGGGTAATAAACAGCAACGATGTAAGCCTAGAGATTAAGGTGCACCTGATCCAGGCTATGGTCTTCACAATTACATGCTTGCACTGGAGAACTTGACAGTGACTAAGGATAATAGAAGAAGAATTGATGCCTTTGAGCTGTGGTGCTGGAGAAGAGTATTGAATATACCACAGACTGCTAGGAGAACAAACAAGCTCATCCTGGAGAGGGTGAAGATAGTCTGATCTTTGGAGGTAAGGATTTTGAAGCTCCCTTTGACATACTCTGGGCATGTTACAAGAAGGGACCAGTCCTTGGAGAGGAAAAAAATGATAAGGGACAGCAGGAAAGAGCAAGACCGTAGAAGAGATGGATTGACTCTGACTTGGGTAATGTGTCAGAGATAATGAGGTTGGTTCAAGGTAGAGCAGGATTCAGAGCTATTGTACATGGGGTCACCATTAATCACATGCAACTCTGTGAAACATAACAACAACAACAAGAAGCAAGTAAAATATTGCTCAAGATTATTAAAAAATGACTGGAATAGTATGTTGATAAGGAACTGCCAGAAGTTTATGCTCGTTTAAGAAGAGTCTATGGGTACAAAAATATCATTGCTAATGTCAAGTGAATCAAGATTGAAAGCAGCTAATTTGGCTGAATGAAAGCAGGGAGTTGTACTGGTGCCTTGCCACCTTGAACCTACAGGGACACCAAGGTAAAAGATAAGCAATCTCCACTTGTGTGATTTAAAACCTCTGATCCCCAAAGGAAGATCAACTGCGAATTGGTTCCAACTAGATGACAATAGGTGAATGAGTGAATTTTTAACCTAGATTTTACCTGTTCTCAGATAAAAAACAATTTTACATCAAGGTTGAAGATACTTTGCATCTTACCGATATTTGATGCTTCAGAAGATGAAGTGTTTAATTTGAAGTTGATTTAAGATTTTGGGGATGATTATTTGGGGTGAATATATTTTGCATATGGCAAGAATATAAATTTTTGAGGCTGGCCAGAGTATGGAATGGTGTGGATTGAATTACGACCTCCCAACCCACAACTCCAAAAGCATATTATAAAACCTAATTACATGTCTGTAGTTAGAATCCCATTTGGGAATGAATTGTTTTGTCATGAGACAATGTTTGTGAAAGTATGTCTTGACTTAATATCTTTTGATAAACACACAAAATATGGAGCAAACACACAAAATCAGCAGAGATAAAGGTACTCAAACACGTGAACCAAAAAGCAGACGCTGAAGAGACGAAGACCTTCCTTCAGAACTGGGAAAAAGTGTCTCATAGCTGGAGCACTGATCTTATTGAACTTCTAGCTTTCTAAACTCTCTCTTTTTGTCGGGAGAGAACTGACTCATAGCTGACCTTTCGGTTGGTTTTCAGAGTCTATAAATTGCATGGGAGAAGATACAATTTGTTTGTTTTAATCCACTCACTTGGGCCAGTCTACCAGAAATACAAGTAGAAAAGCACCAATGCTCATTCACAAAACCACCAGTAAGCATATTTTTTTTTAATCACACTATCTTTGTCACAGCCTGCTTGATCTCCTTACTTTGGGTTAATATAAGAGCCAATTACAGTTTCATCTGTGTAGAATTAACTTTATGAAGCACACACTGGGGATTTGTCTATCCTCACTATTTAGAAAGATGTCATAAAAATATGTATGGGATGGAGTGCAAGCACTGCAGATGGCAGAGGTTTTCAGATTTATTGTAAAATCATTTAAAACCGGTTATACTCTTGCCAGAAGTTAATTAATTTTTTCTCTTTTCCCACTCCCCCCACTCTGGGGGGAAGGTGGGGGGCTCTGTGTCTCACTAGGTGGCAGTGTATGATTACATCTGGAACAGACATGGCATCGAGTCCAGTGTCTCCAGTGGTGATCTCCAACACCAAAATGAAACGTATATGTCTGTGCTTGGTCCAGGAGATGTTACTTCTCACATATCTGTATACACCATTTATCCCAGTGGCTTCCAAGAGCTCTACCGCCATTTTCTCAGACTCCCTGGAGGTGCCATTGTTGAGGTATGTATAAATGACAATATATTAATGCAACATTATATTCTAGTGCATGAACATATAAATTATCATTATTTTCTATTAAAACCTTCAAATATATGTTACAAGCATGTAATAAGTATGGGTTTTTTTAATAGCTAGTGGATTGCATGGTATATTTTAGATTTTTCCTGAAGAAAACATAATACTACCTCCCATCCACAAAAATTGCTTTCTCACACAGTTGTGTGTGAGAGAAGCAAGGATGTGGGGAAATAAAATGAAAAAAAAAAGTTTAGGATTATGATTGAAATTAGTCTTATTGAAGTTAACAATTATAAACAACAGTAAGAAACGAAGGAAAAAAATGTTCTCTGAGTCCATAAGTAATTTAAGACACAGAAGACTAAACAACTCCTTGCTTAAATTATCTCTCACAAAGATGATATTATTTTCCCCCATGAGAAAAATCTTGAAAAATAACCTTCTTCTTGTTGTTGTAGTAATGTACTGTCAAGTCGTCTGTGATACTATATCTAGGGAAACTTTAAGGTAGTGTTTGGTACATATCTTTAAATATTGTTTCCTTCCTGAAACATCAGCTTGTTTTAAGCAGGAGGGGAGAATAAGCCAATAAGCACCCCTCTCCTTTTGGTACATATTCTCAGACATGCTGCTCAAATATCCTGACATGTTGAAATGTGAGGCTACATCTCATTAGCATCTTAAAAATCATGGAGTCAGACTAACTGCTCCCAAGTCAGAACCAGCTAATAGTCGATCCTCCATTGCCGAGGCTGTAAATTGTGTAGGGATTGCCCATCTTTGTCTCACAGAGTCACTGGTGGATTAGCAATGTCAACAAAGTGAGACCATTAGGTTTGCAGTCCTAGTTTCCTATGGACTAGGAAATCAGAAAGAGTATTATTTAACTCTCTTTGGTAGATATTAAAAGCAAATTACAAAAAAAAATGAAGACATTTGCATTTCATTTTATTTTGTTGCTGATAAGGAAATAGCATAGGATCACATGAACTTCCTGTCATTTTTGTTGTGGTGCAGAAATAAAAAAGAGTATCCTCACAAAAATCCCTTCAATGTGAACCTCAAAAAAATTTTAAATTCCTTAGTCAGATCTTGAATGTAGAAAGCTTCTCCTTTCAATAAGCCCAAAACATTGCTTGGACACTTGGCAAAGACACATAGACTTCACCTAGAAAACATGCCAAGTGCTTGAAAAGATTTCCCATCAGACTGCCTCCTTTCCTCCTTAGTCAGGTGTGATACAAGAGGGAGTGTGTTTATAGTGAGACAGTATGTAGGCATACTATTATTATCTTCAAGGATAATACTTGGAAGAATGGATCAGAAGTACTCTTGGCACTTCTGCTTATGATCTTTTTCCAGCTTTTGGAACATTTGCTATAGAGCTTTTCTTTCAGAATTAAACTGCCAGAGTTTAATTTTTTAAAGATGTGGGAGGGTGTGTGTGTGTGAGTGTGTGTGTGTGTGTGTGTGTGTGTGTGTATGTGTATTAAACATTGAAATTATGTAAGAAACCAAAGGACTATCCCTTCCTGCTACAAAACATCTAACTTGTAGGTCTTGGGCTATGAGAAAAGAAAGCTCAGGTGAAAGGTTTCAGCTCTCATCACCACAGCCATCAAGAGCCCTTCAACTCACTTATTTTTCTTTTGTTCTCTAAAGTTGGCTTAGTCATTTCCCACGACTCTGCCTATTTCCTCATATCTAAAACTGGGTTATGAATGCTTATACTACCTGCCTCATAGGGATTTGGGGCAGATTAATGAGATAACATCTGCAAAGTACTTTGAGTTCTTTTTAAAAAATGCAATAAAGATTGCATAACATTATGGACCATGTACAATTAAATTTGCTCAATATCTAAATGATTCTTCAATCAGTAATAGCAACATTCATTATACTGAAAATGAAACAAACTCCCTTCTGGAAGATTTGAATGGTGAGAAAATGAATATGTTTGATTCATCTCACTGCTTTAGTGCCTGCGTATTCTACACTATTGCATTATGGGAAAGAAAGGGTAAAAAACATGGAGAAAGAAAAGGAGCATTGGTAAGAGTCAAATGAAGTTTCAGAAAATACTAATCTTTATCCCATTTTCAGTTGCAGAACAAGCGGTGCTCGTTATTTCTTATGCACTGTTCCTGGGTTTATCTTCTTTTTTTTTATGGCTATGGAGTTTATTAGACAAATGAACAGGCTATCAGAAGGCCATCATAACCCCTCTGTCCAGATAGCTTCTCAAATAGGGTCATGCACTTTGACCTTCAACCTCATGGCTCAGGTCCGTATTATGAAGTTCCCTTAGTCCTGCAGGTCACAGCATCATCCCTCGGTTTTCCAGCAAGCTTGGGTGAACACCTCTGGCTCCAGCTCTGTGCAGCAGCGATCCCAAGTCAGCTCTGTCTCATGTCAGTCTTTAGCTTTCCACTGAGGCTGTCTTGCTCCTGTATAGATACTGACCTGGCTGGTACAAGAATCATGGGGTTGTACAATTTGATGGGGGTGAGGAGTGAGGGAAATTGGAAGAATCTGGTCTGGAAAATAATGTATTAGAATTCTGTAAATAAACTAGTATAAAAAATAAATATAGACTAAAGCACACCACGGGGGGTGGGGCGGAGCACTACTTATTCATGTTCAAGTTAACATGCTACTTTTATTTTCCTAGTGTTCATGGTACCATGGTAGATAAATTAAGCATTAGACAGTTAATCAAGAGGTCAGCAATTTGACCACTCTACCTGCTTCATGGGGGAAAGATGAGGCCTACCTCTAAATATTTACAGCCTCCAGAAATCTATGGGGTGATTATAGTCTATGTTGTGGGGTTGCTATGAGTGAGATCTAATTTGACAACAGTTGATTTGATTTTTTATTATTTTCTCTGCATTGAGTATAGCAATTAAAGCATTCTTCTGGTAAATAGAAACTTAATGACGCAAACCATTAAGCTATTCCTTGAGAAAAAAAAATTGACAATCTCCTTCCATAAAGATAACAGTCTTAGAAACCTTAAGAGATAATAGTCCTATTATATCCTGTATGATTACTAGGTGTCAGAATCTACCCATTGAGGACTCATATGTTGTTTGTTTAGTTAGGTTTTGTTTGTTTGTTTAATGTTGTAAAAAAGATAAAGAAATTATAAGTATCTGTACCTAAGTAGGTAACAGGAGAGCTCTGGTGCCATAGTGTGGAAAAATTTATGTTACTATATCCGAGTCTACGATGGTTGGATTTCACCAGGGTATCTGAGGAGAAAGATGGGCAATATTCTTTACGAGAGAACCAAAAGCTCTTTAACCAAGGACTTGCCAACATGGGCTGCGTTCGCACCAAAACCTTGAAAAAGCAGCCCAGGTCATCATTCAGAAATGCTACACGAGCCTGGGTGATGACTTCCATGTGAAAAACGCATATGCGAGCAAATTGTCATTATTCCCAGCATTAATCTCCGGAACATAATAGCAGGCTATGTCACACATCTGATGAAGAGGATTCTGAGAGGGCCAGTGAGAGGCATCTCCATTAAGCAGCAGGAGCAGGAGAGAGAAGAAGAGAGAACTATGTACCAGAGGTTTCAGCCTTGGATCAGGAGATCATGAAAGTAGATCCTGATACTAAGGAAATGCTGACAGTCTGTCCAACCTACAGGTCATTCAGCCACAGTTGGGATGAATTTCAAAACACCACGTGGAGCCGTTTGAGTCTATCATCTGCTATACTGTAATATTTTCAATAAACTAGAATATACTAGCCTTAATATTAAAAAGAGAGGAGGAGAGGAAGAGGGAGAGAGAAAGGGAGAAGGAAAAAAAACCAAAAGCAATCTTATTCTGTGAAATATACAGCGTTGAACTTAATGTAGGATCAGTTAGGAGCTAGTTCCAAGTTGATAGCAATTAAAAACAGAGAAATTATGCTACCTAATTGGTTAAGAACTGCAGCCTTTAATATGGATGGAAGCTCATCATCAAGAAAACAAAGATTCTAACCACTGGGCCAAATTGGCAGCATCATGATAGACAGCAAAGAGATTGAGACTATTAACAGCTTCAATTTGCTTGGCTCCACCCACAATCAACACTCTTGATACCAGCAGCCAGGAAATTAAAAGACATATTGCATTGGGAAAGCCTGCTGTCAGAGACCTCTCCAAGTACTGAAGAGCAATGGTGTCAGTCTTGAGACTAAGGTGTGCCTGATCCACACCTTGGTCTTTGCAATTACTAGCTATTCATCAGAAATCTGGACAATAACTAAGATAACAGAATAAGAATTGAAGCCTTTGAGTTGAGGTGCTGAAGAATATTGAAAATGCTCTGGGCTTCAAGGAGAACAAATAGGTTCATCCTAGAGAGGGTAAGATCAGACTGCTCCTTGGTAGCAAGGATTCTGAAGCTTCATTTGACATACTTTGAACATGTTGTAAGGAGGGACCAGTCCTTGGAGAGTGATGCAAAGCTTGGGATGGTGAAGGGACAGTGCAAGAGAGGAAGACCCTCGATGAGATGAGATGGATGCATTCAGTGACTGGAGTAATGGAGCTGGGTGTGTCAGAGACAGTAAGATTGGCACAGGATAGAGCAAGTTTTAGGGCTTTTGTACTTAGGGTCACTATGAGTCCCAGAGGACTGCACAGCACACAACAACAATAACAATTGGTCATTTACACATGCACAAATTCCCCAAATTCACAGCCATAAAACTGCTTGTGAATACGAACCCTGGAGACACAGAGCCTTAGGGTTAGCTGCACATCTTGCTAGGCCACACCAGCAGAGGTGATGAAGCACCATTACATCCTTTATTTTCTCATATTATTACAATTATGAGACTTGGTTAACTGGTCAGTGTGTTCATATACTAACCATGAGGTTGACAGCTGGAACCCATCCACATATACCTCAGAAAAGAGCTGACAATCTATTCTAAAGACTACAGCCAAATGGGACTGATATCAGGGTTGGGGTAAGAGT